TATCCCGAGTAAACTCGGGCATGTATAGATTGCAAATATTTATTATCCCGAGTAAACTCGGGCATGTATAGATTGCAAATATTTATTATCCCGAGTAAACTCGGGCATGTATAGATTGCAAATATTTATTATCCCGAGTAAACTCGGGCATGTATAGATTGCAAATATTTATTATCCCGAGTAAACTCGGGCATGTATAGATTGCAAATATTTATTATCCCGAGTAANACCACAGACATTACTCTCGTAAGATTTTTATGCTGGATATAATGAATAAATAGAATTTCTTTTAAAATATATTAAAGAGATAAATTATCTAGTTCATTTATATTTGATGATGTTGTTAGTATAATGTGATAAATAAAATAAGAAATTCATGAGATAAAATAACTTTAAATGGAACAGGTTAGGAAAAGTGTCAAGTTTTTTTTGTGTGACATTTATACGCATAAAATTTTGAAATTCTTCATACATAACAGCTGCATTGAAATTAAAATAATGTTTTATTTCAATTTAGTTCAGCATATAAAGTGCAAGTGTTAAAAGAGTGGATGAGCAATGCTTTCAATTTTCTTCAATAAAAAGCTAGTTCAATACCTGACTATTCTACAATTTAAATGCCTTGAATTATACATTATAAACAAATTATTTATTTCATTGGTGTTGTTATAAGTGTGAGATGGTAAATATAAATGAAAGTCAAGAATAAAGAAAATAATTTATCACCCAGAATAGATAATGAAATAGATAATGAACATTTTTATTCGTGATGCTTATTGTTAGAAAAATTTGAAGATAGATGGCAGCATTACCGAAATTAAAATAAATTTAAATTATGTTTTATTTCAACTTATTAAGAAGAAAGAAAAGGAAAAGAAATGAATGTTGATTTTCAAATCGTATCGAATCGTAATCGTATTTAAAAAAATTGCTAGCTATATTAGGAAAGTTATTTTTATTAAGTATGGATACTGAATCAATACCAAAGGCCCGGCAGAATAATATAAAAGGGGGTGCAATCCTCTAACAAACTACCCCCCCACCCAAAAAAAAAATGTTTTTTTTTTAAATATTCTGCTATTACATTTTGTTTTGTTATTACCTATACTTTCATCGGTTAATTTTCTTCAAAATAAATTTCTTCACTGTTAACAAGATATTTTAAAAAAAGTACGAATTTCTCGTACTTGCAAATTTTGCCACTAGAAACTGCATTGATGGCATAGCTACTGACTTTGAAACACAATAACTACTAACAGTAGTTTCGTATACTTACATGCCTTAACGTTGGTATTTATGGTATGTTTATGAAGTTTTACAGTTGTGAGAAGTCAGTTTGTGCTATACACCTTTGTTAAACTAAATAGCTAATAGAAAATGTAATATTATTTATATTTTATTAAATGAAATTTAAAAATATAGCTTAGAAAGCTGCCCAAGAAAAAAAAACTTTTTTTGATAGATAAAAAGTTGCTTTCGAGTGTTCGATTTACAAATGATGATATTTTTTGTAGAAAAAAGTAACTTCACGTCTATATTTTTTTACAGATTTATACATTAAATTTTTAACAGAAATTTTAAGTCAGTATTTACGATAATGAATATCCGAGAGTAATATTTTTTAATGCTGAATGAGTGTTTGTTCAATACTTCATTTAATTTTTTTTTCTTACAGGAAAGTAATGCTTGTAAAAACAAATTAAAATGAGTGATATCAGAAGTTATTTTTGCAAAAAGCTGACGATTCTTGTCTAAACCCTAGTATAAACACTAGTCCAGATTTTATTTCAAAGACTAATCCTGGTACTAGTGCAAACGTAACTGCAGCTTAACATGGCTTTCGGAAATAAAATTTTCATGTACTCGTATAATATTGCTCGGTAAAAGTTGGTTTTATAATCAGTGTTTAATAAGTTTATTTTTAAGTTACTAAGTTAAGTTAAGTTAAGTTTAAGTTTAAGTTATTCGATAAAATATTTTAAAACTTTATAATTTTAGGTGATGAGCATATTTACTGCAAGAGATAATTCAGTAATTTTAAGTTTTAAATTTAAGAATTGTACATCACTTCTAATTTAAAAACTGCAAGTTGCATTTAATTGGATATGCATAAAATTTAGATTTAAAAATGAAATGTTTTGATTGTAACATAATGCATTGGGTTCAACCATTTTTTTTAAAGAAATACACAAATAAGTTCATAAATTTTTTTTTCTTCGTTTTCTCAGGAAAAGTTTTTCCAAGGGGAGAGGAGTTATAATAATGTATAAAAATATTAAAAATTATAAGGCTAGCAAAAGCATGAATAAAATAAAATAAACACATAAGAATTCGTGATCGCAACGCTCGAGTACACCCTCTAGCGGGAGCCTGAAAATATCGGGCATTAAATTATTATTATTGCAGAATCAGATGTCATTTTCTTTACAGGAAATAAAACGCAAAATTTACCTAAGGAAAAGGCCGAAGAACTTGAAAAAACTCACCAAAATATTGTTAAATCTTTCAGAAACAGAACACGCCAAACATTTGAAGAAAAATTCCTCAATAATTTTTAACTTCTGTTATCAACAAACTTGTAACTGATAACTTCCGATTTCGGATTCGCATACTGTGTTACACATGTGTGTATTACGGTAAAATACATTTCTTCTGTCTTCAACTCATTACAAATTAAAGTGAAGTCAACATTGCTTTCTTCATTCAAATGAATAATTGTGAATTCAGAACGTACAGAACTGTAATAGTTATAGAATATTCTTCTTTATGGAAAAGTATATATTTCTGTATCTATATAATTCGGAAAACAACAATAAAGAATAATCCGAATTACTTGTTTTCTTGGTAAGTGTTTTTAGTTTTGAAAGAATTTCAACTAGAATTCAGCTATTTTGTTTTTAAGTTACATATTAAAATTCATATCGAGATCTTACAGTTACAAAATTTTGCTGTGTGGTATGTTATCTAAAAGTAATGAAGGGATAAACTATGTATATATTATTTGAGAATAAAGTTTTCAAACAAAGGACATATTTTGGAATTCTCCGGATTTATAAATCAGGTAAGTGTTATGATTTTTATAATAAAAAATTTGCTTGTAAATAATTTTTATTTCTTATTTGATGACAGTTCTCTACAGAATGGTTTTTTTATGTCTGATTAAGAACTATAAGAATAAAAAAACAAACAATATGGAAGTTTTTATTTCAATATGAGGAATTTTTAAAATCGTTTTTTTAACCAAAGAATTCCTTATTTTACGTTTTTTAGTTTATAATTTTTTGATAAAAATTGTTGTCAAATTACATTTTTTGAAAAATTAAATGGTATAACATTATGTGTTTATGTATACTTCTTGCATAATCTAATGTTTGAAGTAATATGATTCTGAAAAGTATGGAATAAAAATTCGGTACTTACGTTTTAACGCCACCGCAACTACAGATTTGGCGGTTTTTAAGTTCCGCCAATCTGCACCTAAAATTTTACGACAAATCATAAAATAAAACACTTTATTTAAAATCAAAACACTTTCAAAATTCAAAACACTTTATTTAAAATCAAAGTAGTTTATCGAATTTCGGTGGTAAATGGGCCGATATAGATTTTAACATTAATTCAAAACAATCTCCATTTTCTTTCGTCGCCATATGAACTCTAATAAATAAGATTCCAAATGAAATTACAATTCCAAAACGTACGTTTACCATAATAAAGTTTCATGTCATGAGAATTGGTACATTTTCGTTTTTTCGGTAAAATATTTCGCTCCTGAAAAAATAAAATTGCATCTTGTTTTGTTTTTGGCAAATCACAAAGACGAATTTTCGTAGCCCTAAAAAATGGCGTCAAAAAGGAATTGTTTTTTTGTTTCGTAAGCATTCTTTATTTTACGTTTTTTAGTTTCTAAATGATTTTCATTGAAACTTAAAATTTTTTTATAAAAATTGTTGTTAAAAAACTTTTTTTACAAAATTAAATTTTATAAAATTTTGAGGCTTATGTACACTTTTTGTTCATTTTAATTTTTGAAGTAATAAGATTCTTAAAACTATGGAAAGTTTAACTAGGCTTTTCATGTTACATCATTAAATTTAGTAAAACTATTTCTCGGGCAGTAGGTTTTAACTCTTATAAGAATATATACATATTTTTTTCTGATTATGTACAAATATTTTTCCGATGTGTTTTGGATGTTCCTTCTCTAAAAAAAAAGAGATACCATTTTGTTTTCGCTTTCATAAGAAAGAATATCAAACATTTTTCTTTTTTAAATTTAATAAGCCACAGTAAAGAAGGAACGTTGCAATGCTGCACGCTACATTAAAGACGTCTCTAGAGTAACTGAATGACTGTTCATATAGAAATTGCAGGTATTCGTCTCATACAACAACACCCCCTATAGTTCGTTGCGATCGAGAATACTAAACACATTAAAAGTAAAAGCAAATTTTCGAACAGATAGTTGTTGATTTTTTTAGAGAATAGTTTTGTTTTTGGAATTTGAAGTTTATACTATTCCGTTACTGGTTTTTCTATATTTTATTACATGATTATTACAAACCCTTAACCCGGGTAATTTAATGTCGTACTGTTGTTGTGAAATAAATGTTTGTTTTATAAATAAATAAAAAGAACTGGTTATTAATACAGCTTGTTACGTTACACTGTCAACGTTTAAGCCTTTTTGAAAAACATTTCACATAATCCAGCATATGATTTGAATTATTTATGTGCAGTCTTCGATTAATTCATTATAAAGTTATTTTATTCAGTTAAAAGTCACGTATTGTATGAAATTTGTTACCACTAGGAACATTTTTTTCTCTAGGAAGCGTAAAAGTTAGCAGCTACGTACATATGCCTGAATTTCAAAAGTGTATCTTTAATTGATAATTCTATATTTTATTAATTCCATAAATTTATTGATTATGAAGCGATTCATCTATGATTAACCGTAAGATCGGTGCAGAAATAAATGTAGAATTTCGAAAAATAAATAAGTTTTAGAGAGAAAAATTTATTAAATTACATAATATTTAAATATTTATTGCAAAACAGCAAGAAAACTTTTCAGTGCAAATCGCACCTATCATTCAGCCATTAAAATATGTTGAGAATCTCAATCTTTTGGCTACAAAAGACCCATGGCGTACACTTTTTGTAAGAGGGGGTTGGTGGTGTAATACTCGATATCTTCCTGAAATAGAACATTTATCGTTATTTAATATAATTAATAAAGAAAAACTGGTTCATAACTTCAAAGCTGAAATTAAAATATACTTTTGGTACCTTTAAACATGCCGAAATACAGCGAAAATAAAATTTCCTTTTTCTTGTTGGCTAACATAATATAAATATAGTGTGAAACCCCAATTTTAAACTTTCCTTTGAACTTTTTAACTCCCGAAACAGGAGAGTAAAATTGAGGAGAGAAAGGATATTTTTCCGAAAAAATGGATGCTTACGAAGAGAACTATCGGAAAAATTGAGTCATCTTTGCAGGCTATTTACTTTCACAACTGCAAAGGTTTCCGAGTTTTATGCTTTCAAACTCTTGATCAGTTCTGTGCCTCAGAAAATTTTCGGCTCAATTTCATCGCTTTCAATGCAATCAGGAACAGGCTTCGTAATGGAATGTTCAGAAGAACTGCAGACAGATCAAGCCTGCAGAATGTTTCCATTGGATAAGGAGAAGCTTTATTTAAAATCTATTTGTAGGACATTCCGCAGCTTCAAAACAAGCATTTTTGATTTATTAGGTGGCCAGAATCAAAAGAAAAAAAATTCACTCTCAAGTTTTGCAATTTAAACTCTGATACTTCTTTTAACCACGCTTTGTCCATCAACTTACCACTTCTGATTACAACCCAAGAGGGGAAAATTACCTCTCCCTGTCTAAAGGACAATAAAATAGACAAGTGAAATCTGAAATTAAATTTGCGTCTGTGTGAAATAAATAAAGTGTTAGAAAAAAAGTTCCAGAGTTTCTGGTATTGCCCCCCATATCAATGAATTGAAAAGAATAATAATAAAAAATAACACTACAGCAGCAATCATGATACATTATTTTTTTTATAAATAAATGAATGAAAATGGGTAATCTAAATAAAATATAAAGAAAAATGGGAGCCTAATTTTGAACATTTAAAATGTGTCGACTGCTATTTCCTATTTCTATATTTTTGAAGATAATGACGATTTGTATCAAGTATATGATTATAATAGGCTATGCTTATAATAGGGTGATTCCAAATACTCTATTTTTTCTTTTCAAGAGTTTAATGAGTGTACTTTTCATTTGAAACTTTCCCCACCTATTGATGTATTATCACATTATTTTTCTAATTCCTGCTTGCCATATTCCTATTTTTATCTTTATCAAATCTTATAATTTTATTCTATTATACCCAATCATATTGCGATTATGTAAGCATTATATCCCTTACTATATTTTATTATCCTTATTTTTCACTTCATTCTTACATCACTTTGTAAATCATATCAAATCCTGCATCCTTTGTTGTAAAGTTTGTTATCACGTCAATTGTATTAAACCTATCTCTGTACTATCCCTCTTTTGCTTAATCAATAAATTGTGATCCTTCCTTCATTACCCTTGGAGTTATAAAATTTTGAAGGCAGACTCTAACGTCTTCCAAATGCATGATCCCCCCCAAATTGTATTTTCTTTTCACCAAATTATTTTCATTCTCAGCTATTGTCTATAACCTTATTTAATTTCGATCGAAGGTACGTACCTTAGTTGCAAAGGAAGTCTATTGCTTCTAAAAAAACACCTCTCGCCATTAATAAAGATTTTGACTCTTCATCGCTGCAATACTCATAAGAAAAACATATTAAGAAATGAGAAACAAGTGTATTTAAGGCAACAGACAATAAGGAAGAGATTCGTTAAAAATAATATACTAAAAAGCATTTAATTCTGTCGGCATATAGTTAAAGTATGAATAATTTTTGGGAACAGTTTACTTTCTATAATGCAATTTTTTTCCTTTGTAAAAAATACTCGAAATCTGAATTCAATAAAAACTCTACAATAATACTTGCTGCCATAATCTTATCGTAGAGAGAGCTAAGTATTTGAAAAAAAAAGCAGTATTTTAAAACTTCCAAAAATTAATTGGAAAACGAAATGAATAAACTAGATTCCGTTTGAAAAATAGTTTAGACTTAAATCACACTGAAAAATAATAATTATGTTTATGGTTTTTAACATATGTTACTTTTTACATCATTCTTACATACAACCAGTCACAAAAAGTGAAGTTTCAAATGATGAAGTTCAAGAAAGATTACCTCCAGTGGAAGGAAAAGAAGATTCAAGTTGGCATCCGGAATTCTCCGCACATGATACTCTTCGAGAAGAAGGGGAGGAGGATCAAAGTTTGCATTCGTTATTCTCCGCTTCTGAAAGTAGCAACGAAATGATGATCGTTGAAAGTAAAGCTAATGATGACTGTCTTTGATGAAGATCAAGAAAATTTATTGCGAGTGAAAAAAAAGTGGATTCAAATTGACATCCGAAATATTCCTCACATGAAACTCTTCGAGTAGAAGGGGAGGAGGATCAAAGTTTGCATTCGTTATTCTCCGCCATTAGAACGAAAGTTATTCAGGGTTATTTTTTTCTTGCGGACTGTACATAATTGTTTGAAATAATTTGTCAAAATTTGTAAAATTATTTTTGAAACTTTAAATACAGATTTAAACCTGTTATCTTTAAAGATTTTCTTCAACGACCGTATACTGATCAAAACTAACTTATTCATAATAAAGTTAGTCACACCACAAACATTGACATTGAATCAACATCGTTTCTTTGGATAAAATCAGCATTGTGATTGCAGTTTATTTAAATAAATAGTTTAACGAATGAGACTTGCCCAGAACAATATCTAAACAAAGGATGCTACTTACTCTGGGGAACTCTTTGAACTGCGAATGAACGATATTGACTTCCTCCGATGAATGTTGAGAATTACATAGTTGCTTTGGTAATTGTTCGAAACACGTCCAGTTAAGTACCACTGCCCGGTATGCCCTACATAAAAAAAATTTTTGAGGTTTAGTGCTACATTTAATAAAGGTATTTTACTCCAAAAATTGATGTTTCTCTTAATTAATCCTCAGCAGACATTAAGGTATCGAATAAAAAAGTAATATCAACGAATAATTATCAAACCAGATACGAGAAATATTCGGTTTGACCAAAGCGACTGTGATTGTTGACATCAGTGAAATTCTACATTTAATTTATTTCTGTCATTGACGTTAACAACTACATAAAAAGCAACTTAAAGATTTAAAAAATCTTTTCTGGAATCTTTAATACCCTTTTGCGAAGCTAAGAAGACAATGATTTCGTTTTAATTGTGCTTGAAATATTGAAATGAAATGTTAGTACACATTTTGGGTCTCACATAACACATAATAGATCAATTATTCCTTTCAGATCTTAATCAATTCTTACTTTCTTAATCTCAATTCTAAATCTCAATTTCGTCATAAATTTCAGAAGCATTAGCTTTAATAGCATTAGAAGCTCTTTCTATTTTTGAAAATTTTTATCACTTATTCTCTATCTTATTCTTTCTTCAAAATTAAATTTCAAACACAAAGAGATTTTTGAAGAACTGCTGTTTCAATAAACGAAACGTTTATTATAAATATATGGAAATTTTATACTGAAAGATCTTCTCTTCTTAAATATTTGCCAATGAAAATTAACTTGAGTTCTAACTGATACCGAAGCTTCGGTGAAATCCGAATGTACGTTTGGCGCGATTTCGAAAAATGTCGCAAGACACTCTAAGAACTGGCGTCTTCAAAAATAAAAAAAAATCATAACCTGAAAACGACAAATACATAAATATAAAATGAAGAAAAAAAGCATAAATCTATGGAAATAAATCTAACTTTATCAGCCTCCCAGGCTTTACCAATATCGCCAAATCTACAATTTAACATGCTAGGACTAAGCCAAGGCTCTTTAATTGAAAGAACTTTTTTTGCTCAAAACGTATTGGTCTCTGTTTGCTTAGAAAATATCTGTTTAAACATATTTAAATCCTGCAAACGTTTAGGAGCAATATTGTACTAAAATTTCTCTGCTATATATAACTTTTCCGTTAAATAATGAATTCTTTTACAATTGACTGATTTTGAAAGTTTGAACAAATTGGCAAAAATAAACTTTTATCTTTTATTTGTTTTAAAATCTGAATTTTATTTTAAACATTTAAATTTATTCCTGCTTCAGAAAAAGTGATATTTGATTTCAAAATGACTGCAGCACCCTTAATTTAGAAACTCATTTTTTATATAAATTTTTAGAGATCCATATAATTCCTGGAGAATATTAATAAAATAAAGAGAATATTTGTAAAATATGTACTAATAAAGGGTTATTTTATAAAGTAGAAATTGTATTTGCGAATACATTAAAAAAAATATTCCTTCATAAAGAACCATGATCTAATTTTCCATCTCAGCTCAGAATCGAAATTTTAGATTTTACAAAAAAATTACATTTTCTTATAGAGTGAGAGAATAAACTTGTTATCAGAGAGTTAAAAATACATACAACTGCAATTAAATAGCTATAAGATTTCAATAAAATTTTAAAAATTCACCTGAAATATTCAATTTTTTAGATTGTGACTTCCGATGTTTGGTCAAAATTACGAATAAAAAATTTCTTTTAAGATAATCATCATTTTATGTTCATTTAAATTTTAAACGAGAAAAACATTTCTACTTCATTCTTAAAATTCAAATCTGGCATAAAATTTTCGGAATTCTATTGAGATGTCATTTTATTATGTTCTATACTGATTCTAATGCTTTAAAATGACAGTAAAACACGCATTTTGAAAAGGGTTTAGAAACTCATGTCAAGAACTAGTTAGAAAGACTATTTTAATTGTGAAAATTTTCAATGTACTATTTAAATCTATCAATTTGCACATGAAAATTTCGTATCCAGATTTCTCAAAAAAGCAGGACAATAACTGAGAGACATGCTAAAGTAATTTTAGTTCTATCTTTTAATAATACTTTGAGATCTATATAGAAGAAGGAATGTCGACTCAGCAAATCCAATCTATTGAGTTTTCCGATTCTCTTGGAATTAAAAGAGAATTTTGGGCAACTTTTGTCCTTAAACAAGACTATTGTGTTAAGCAGTTAAACACTTTATCTCAATCTTACCATTGCTCATAAAAACATTGAGTTTAATCTCCGAAATGGGTTGTTAAGAGAATACTTTACTTGTTTTTGTCGTAAATTCAACATATTCTATAACATACCATAGTTTTTCAAAACGAACTCGTTTGGAACTAATATAGATTTTTTAAGCAAAAATAAGATTTTTTCTCACTCAAGACGAACATTAATCCCTTAACGCACAGATCTTTTGAAAAAAAACCGGCCAAAAAATCTATTTGCAAAATAAACACACTTTAGAACTTTGTGTTTCTTTATGGTGGACAATTTTGATATACTGCGGTCCCGCAATGGGCTGAGCGTTAGGACACGTTTTCCAGCAGATCACCGAAGTCAAGCATCACTGGCTGCGGTTAGTGTGCGGGTGGGCGACCACTTGGATCAATCTGCGTAGGGACCGAGGGTGTGCGGTATTGGTCCTCGTTAAACTGTTCTACCGTAAAGTGCTCGACTTCGCGTGCAGGTCGTCGGGCTACCGAAGCGGGGGTGCCATACCCTCTGCGGAGGATCAAAATTGTGATGGCATGTCTTCGGATCATCCTCAGGGNTCCACAGGGATGTTTCCCAGACCATCACCAATAGCCCATTGTGCAGCTCTAGTGCGACGTAAATGAACAAATCAAATCAAATCATTGATATACTGCGCTTTTGTCCCATGGAAAGAGGCTATATTCTGAGACGTCAACTGCTCCGGGCACGCCCAAATAATTTTAAAAAAAACGGTATATAACAACAAAGTAAATGTTGCAAATATTTGACTATTTTTGCTCACTTTTTAAAAGGTATAGCATGACGTAACTATTATGAAGTGGTGAATTATATAAACCTACCATTTAGAAATAGGAGATTAAGTATACCATATAAGCCTATCATTTAAAAATAATGGTGAATAAAAATCAACTAAATTAAAATTATTAAACCAAAAATCACAATTGATAAACTACCACTTTAAAATATATATTTGCTGTCCGGAGCAAGTTGGCCTCTCTGTATATTTTATTCTTGAATAAATAAGTGTTATAGTTTACAATCCTATGCAAATGATAAATATCAATAAAGCGATTTTTTTCTCTTCACATTGTTATTTTCAATTCTGGATTATATTCGAGTGTGAAGAATTACAGCATCATTAAGTACAACGCCGCTCGAAATGTCTCGAGTGTGCACAGTTTCGCCTCTTTAGGGCGTAATTAGCGAAATGTTCAGAGCTATTGTGGCGTAACTACCACTACGAATATTAAACATCAATTCACTAGTATATAAGAAATGCTAACTTTATCCCATCTTGAGATATCTATTTATAGATGAAGGTTGGCAATGTTTAATGGTCTTTCCCCTAATTGGTGACCCCGACGAGATACAATCACGACAACTTCGATGTATGGTCCACATAGAATAGTCGACTTGCTATTTGTGACTGCATCATCGTTGTTGCTTCTCAGTCTGATTTATACACAACGGGATCCTGCACGCACTAGACTGCTTATAGCAACACAGGAGTGACTACACACACAACCATGATCTTAATACAGCTCTCATAGCTAAAACTCAAAATCTGGTGACCTTAATCCAGCTCTCCCGGTCTTTCACAAATACAGCAACTAGTGGTATCCGTTCATCGAGTTCTATCCCTAATAAAATTCTGGTGGGGGAGTATTGTAGCGCAACTACCACTACATGTCAATTCACTTGAATATAACTTAAATGTCAATTCACTAGTATATATAAGACGTGCTAACTTGATTCAATCTTGAGCTACCTATTGATAGATGAAGGTTGGCAGAGTCGATTATACCATGTCCCACACTAATATTGATTTTTAATACTGACAAACACAACTGAATTTTTTTTATACAGTCAAAGGATGAGTAGACATTCTAAACTATTAAATTAAACTACAAATTATGTTTCAAACGTTTTATATTTTTAATAAATTCATCATTAAAAACGGTCCCTGATTAGATTTGAATTATTATTTTTCAAATTTTTTCAAGCAAAATAGTATTCATATAGTAAATCATTGTAGCAAAACATTAACGTAACATTAATGCAGCACACATTGTAGTAAAACATTGTAACAAATAAAAATAGAATAAGTGAGATAGAGTTAATTGACAAACTGAAAACATTAACTCTAGTTTAGATTTACTTATTGTAACTCGATATTTCAAACAACGTAAAAATTGAAGTTACTTAAGGATAACTTCACAAGATCAAGTATCTTAAAATTATTATTTAATTAAACAACATTATTTAATTTATACTAAGTATTCCTGCTTATTTACTTGAAAATTTCGTATTTAAAAAGTAACGAAAAGTAAATATGTTTTACTTACTTTGGATTGAAACTTAGAACTCAGCACACTCTCGCAATGAATTATATTATTTAGGAATTATAACACGTTATGTTATTTACAAAATATGCGCGTGAAATTACGTTTTTAGATGCACGTTATTGCAATTACGTAAAGGCTTGTGTGCTCAAAATAGGCTTATAAACCTTCGTCAAGTAGAAGAGACAGCACCAAGTAACTCTAGATGCACGCTTAGAATGTTTGATTTTGATTTTATTGAAATTACATACATTTGTTGACTTGTGTGCTCAATATATAGGCTTATAAGTCATTGTCAAGTAGAAAATACAGATAGAACAATTCAGAGAAAGACATCACAAAGAATACATCCAGGGTTACGGCGGGATTCGAACCCGCACCTCCACGCTTAACAGAGCGTTTGGACCAGCGATACCGCTCGGCCAGGGAGGCCCCTTAGAATGTTTATTGAGTATTGAGTATAGTAAAGTTCTACGAGCTCTCTGTTTTCGCTTATAGCTCTGCATTTCAATAGGTAAGGCTTAATTTATCCTATCAAGATTAATATGAGCTCTGAGGCTCTTTTTCAAACTCAACATCAGTCAATATCTACACATCCAGGGTTAAGAAGGAATTCGAACCCACCACCTTCACGTTACACTGATTTATGCCAGTTTTATTATAAACTGAGTGGATGTTGAAAAGAATCTGTGTTTCTCTCTTTCAAAGCGTGCAGGTAGCGGATTCGAATCCCATTGTCGTGCTGTTCTTCTCTGCATTGTGCAATCAGTCCTTCTATTTGTCTAAGGTTTATGAGCCTTAATTGAGCACTCTAAATGTATGTTGTACCAATAAATTAATAAATGTTCGCTTTTATCCTCTTATATTTCATAAAAGTCCCGCAGTGGACTGATCGCTAAGACACGGTTCCCAGCAGATCACCGAATTCAAGCATCACTGGCTGCGGTCAGTGTGCGGGTGGGTGATCACTTGGATCAGTCTGAGTAGGGACCGAGGGTGTGCGGTATGGATTCTCGTTAAACTGTTCTACTGTAAAGTGCTCGACTTCGCTTGCAGGTCGTCGAGCTACCGAAGCGGGGGTGCCATCCCCTCTGCAGAGAATCAAAATGGTAATGGCATGTCTTCGGATCATCCTCAGGGATGTTTCCCAGACCGTCGCCAATAGCCCATTGTGCAGCTCTAGTGCGACGTAAATGAACCACGATTACAATTACAATCCTCTTATATATCATAAAAAAAGAACGCGGTAGTAATTTATTTACGTCGCCCTGGAGTTGAACAATGTGCTATTGGCAGCGGTCTAGGAATCATATCGGTGGATGCTCTTCCGCCAAGAGCTTTAAAACGTGGAGGTAGCAGGTTCAAATTCCACTGAATACATGATTGTTCTGTTCTTTTCAAATTAAGTTTATCTTTTCTTGCTTACTAGATAGGTGGGTTGGTACTTTATTTATGTCGCGCTAGACCGGCGCAATGGGCTATTAGCAACGATCTGGGAAACATCCCTGAGGATGATCAGAGGACATATCAATGCAATTTTGATCCTCTGCAGAGAGGGTGGCGCCCCTGCTTTGGTAGCCCGATGACCTGCAAGCGATGTCTGACACTTTAAGGTATAACAGTTTAACGAGGACCCATACCGCACACTCTCGGTCCCTATGTAGGCTGATCCAAGTGACAGCAGCAAATGATTCTTGACTTCAGTGTTCTACTGGGAACAGTGTCTTTACGATCAGTCCACTGCGGGACTTTTGAAGGTAGCAAAGGTTATTTTATGAAGTTTTATATATAAGGTTTCCAAACTTGTCGTTGAATCAATAGTTTTATATAGGCTATTTATTAGTTGATAACATCAGCTGAGATAAGCAATTGCCACCACAGAAGGGCTCACCCAGCAAATATTTGTTCTTAATTCACAAATAATTTCTGTCTATGTTGAAGTATACTTTGTAGTTGTGCCGCTTTCGAGTCTACATTTAACCGGCACTGATGTTTCTCCCAATCTATCCTCAACACATAATAATAACAACGAATGAATTAATTTCAAATCGGATGTCTCAACCATTCACAAAAGCGACATTCTCTTGATATCTGTTATTTTATTTTACAACAGTTGAACAGCCGATCCAATTTTATGGGTTCACGACTGCTCATGTTCAACTCCGTAGCCTTGTCACTTTGAACCCTATCCAGAAGACAAGGGAAGTCTTGTATCAGTACCCCTAGAGGTATTGATTTGTTGTGGGAACACGGAGGCCACTCGACAGATTTTACGCACATCAGTCACCATTTAGTACGCGGGGATCGAACCCACGACCTCTTGGACGCGGGCTCTCGGTTATACCTCTCAAATGAAAAATATTTTCTTTCTCTGTCTATGTTTGCGGAGGAGACTATAAGAGACACTTTCAGGTAAATTCAGGTTATTAAATCATTCAGAAACAGATGCTGCATTTGGATAAATTTAAAAAGGATTGCATTGCAAAATTTGCCTTAAAATATTCCTGTTTCGTTTTCAGTGGTTCTGTAAAGTAATATTCAGGTTTATTAAATCAAACTTTATCAAATAAATGTTGCTGCAAAGCCTTCTTCTCTTAATTTAGATGAAAATCCTTCTCTTTTTTTTCAGATTATTCGATTGACTCGAAGGTTAGTCATTTTCAATTTTGACGTAATTTGTACAAGTTCTATTTTTTTTTTGTGGACAGTTCACATAATCTATACATGAAGTGTATTTCTCAAAGCAAATATATCGGCCTTCCTTTTTATTTAATATTTTATAACCACCGTTCAACAGGCTGACCCAAATTTGGGTTTATGACTTCTCGTGTTCAACTCCATAGCCTAGTCAATTTGAACCCGCTGCAGAAGACAAGGGAACTCATGGATCAAGCATCTAGAGAAATTTGTCTTCGTGGAGAACTTTTTGATGGATCTAACTCGCATTTGCGTAGCATGGAGAGGAAGACCGTGAGAACATTCCATGGTCAGCCTGACGGCAAAGGGACCCATGATCCGTCTACCACTAAGGATATTTCACGTCAGCACTGGGATCTGTGCAAGCCGGATGCTGAATTCGTATCGACCAGCCATCGCCGGGATTCCAACCAGCTCACCCAATTGAAAGGTGAACGCTCTATCACCCCCTGAGCTATCGCGTCTCATGACCTGCCTTTTATCCATCCTCTTTTGACGCATTGGGTTCAAAATCAGCTTCATTAATAACTCCTCCCGCCCAACAATTTATTAACTTATTGTTTTTTTTGCATAGTATTGTATGCAGATTTAATAGTGATAAAGAAAAAAATAATTTTACTTCTACCACACCTAAGACGACTATTATTTCTAACACACCTAAACCTTTGTCCACTACATGCGCCCCCCNCCCCCCCCCCGTCTTTTGAAAACGATGCGTTCCTATGTCTCGTAGAAATAAATGTTTTCATGTTTACTTTTTTTGAAATAATTTTGTGTTAAAAAAGTTTTAGATTAAAATTATAATATTTCAAATGTGTGGTGAGTAAAAATATTTCTTTTAAATGCAAATTTATTTCTTCCCCTATCTGTTTATGTTATTGAAATGTCACGATATATTGCGATAAATAGTTCGCTTGATTCGACAAATAGGTTGCCTATATTTTCAAGGAACATGAAAAACTAATTTGTGATCAAAACTAAGCAGAAGTTCAAGGTCTGCTTTATTTTAGATTTTCCTCAGGGTTTTTGAACTGATGATTTACGTGTGTCACGCCATTTTATTACAACCACCTTTTTAACTAATACAGAGGAAAGGGGAAGAAACAAGTAATTTGTTATCAAACTAAAAATCTATTACAGAAATGCTTGCTAATGCTATTTTTAGAGCTATACAGTCCCTTTGTCATATTATTGGACGCACTCTTAGAGTCTCTGTAAAATCTTAATTATCAGGTGATGCTATGCAGCATTATTGTTTTTACATTTGTTTACGTTCTCGTATCAATAGGTTAAATTAGGCGATATATTATATAAATATAGAATATTTATTGTATAAAGTATTATATTAGTATACTATAATAATTATACCGAATTATTTGATGCTCTGTAGTGTCTTAATAATGACACGTTTTGCACGAGTTTATAGGCAATACTTTCACATTTAAACATGCATGTCATGGGTTTTTATTTAGGAGATTTTTTGTAGACTTCCCATTTGCATTTCTTTTAACGTATTGCATGGCAAAGTTAACCCATTGGATACACGAACGTAAACAAGTGCAAACCGGTTTCAGTCACGTAAAAGCGATAAAGCTGTATAGTATCGCCTGATAACTAAGATTTTATACAGAATCTTAGAGTGCGTTAATAATTTGGACAGAGACTGTATAATCGAATCGACTATAATTAACGACATAAAAATAGAACAAAAAAACGAATACAGTCTAATTCGCTTATAACGAGTACGTTTGGAGCGCGAGAATTCCCTTGTTTAATCAGGGTGTTCGTTAAATTCGTAACGAGTGAAATTTAAAAAAAGGAAATGAAAGCTATGATATGTAAAAAGGAACTAGGAAATGCATTTTTATTCCATTTTTATTATCATTGTTTATTTTTGTGCTTTATTCCGTTTCTTCGAAATTGGAAAATTGAAAGCGAGCAGCTTTAAGAGCACACAACAGAGCAGAATAGAGCAACAGAAACTATTCAATGGTTTAGATGACATTATCTGCTGAAATGTATTGCAATGTTTATTGAATGACACGCCTTATTGAGGAACATTATTTATCTCCACGAAGTTTTTGAACAAATTACGAAGAAACTAATTTTAAACTATAACTTTCTAAACAAAAAGGACAAATCTGCTTTGTGCGATAGTTATTGTGTTAATTAAGAAAGTGGTACAAGCGTCGGAATTAAAGCGACAAAAAAAAAAGGATTATTTTTCAGGCGGATCTGAGGATTTCATGGAAGAGCAGCATTCTGGAAAAATATAAATCAATATTCTCTCGTGTATTCTGATGAGGTGTGAATTTCACTCATTTTGTATTCAGCTGGCTGACAAAAAGATAACAAAATATTCTCAATACTTGATTCGACATGAAATGATGTCGTCAGGATAATGTTCCTAATATAGATAGATATTTTACGAGGGCGGGATTAGTATTTTTTTTTCTTTTGACACAATACCTTCGAAGTTTAGAATCAAAACCAAATTTATCGGATTGACTACATAAA